TATTTAAGTTGTATATAAGACTGATGTATTAATTTTACATAAACACGATTCGTGTAGATTAATAACTAAATTTGTAATAATTATGAAAATTGTATAAAGCAGATTTATTACAAAAATTTGATAACTTATGCAAGTTGAGAAGTTTATAACATGAAGAAATATTTTGAAAATTCAAAGATCTATTGGGTTGAAGGGATTAAAATATCCTCTACGATGTGATGATATATTAATTGATGCTAAATAAAAAAATACTTCAGGGTTATTCTTAAATTGCACAAGACGCAATAACACTGTTCAGGATATTATTATGAACAAACACCACTTTTATGGTAAAGTTCCATGCAATAATATCATAGACAGTAATTATTGTGATTACACGAAATACACATATGTTCAATACTTTTTATATCCACTTACTCGAAACACTGTCTTAGTTAATTACAGTTTCAAATCACATCGAATCGTGGATTAGTCGCTTGTAAAAAATAGCATGGCATTCTATTAATAATGGAACAAAAGTTTTTTCCAATGGAGTAAACAATGTTCTACGAATGTCAGGTACAAACGTTATACTAGTAACTCGATTTCTAGTTAACAATTTTTTTTCATTCGAATCAATAATGTTCTCATAAATTCGATGCCCATTTATGTATCCTAGTATCATCATAGGGAACACAATTTGCCCATGAGAGTACAATAATGTTTAACTTATAACGATAATCGTTCATCTTACATACTTTCAACAAAAGCATAAGACAATAAAAAAATACGTCTAAAAAGAATAAAATTCAAGTACAGTGACGTATTTTATGTAAATATGTTTGAAACACGTTTTTGTGTCTCATAATATGTACAGTAAAATTAATTACATCTTGAACATGTTCATTTCTACATGATTTTCATATCGCGACTTTGAAATTAGATTATAGTATACATGTGAAAATAATTAAATGTTCTACAATTTTAAATATAATTATAAAAGTTAAAGCAATACATTATTTGTATGTAAATTACAAACTAAAATATTTTCATGCTTAATTTTAGTTATATTATAAAAATTAAGTGAACGGCACGGTGTGTCACAATATACATTTACGTACTAATTTACTCTATGGAATAAATGCTTTTCCACAAACACTAATTAATGATTGAGCAATTATATTTTAAATTTATTTTGGGTACTAACAGATTATAAAAAATAGTAGTCTATTTTCAAAATCGCGAACCAGTTTAAATTTAAGAATTATTATCATAAAGAAATAGTTCATGAACGCCACTGTCTACACCAATTAAACGAAAAGAAACTGAAATTTATTTAAGAGTACTGAACGCGTATATAGGTAGTCAAGTATGTAAGAGTAACATTTATTCAGGATTGTACGTTCGCTAAACGTGTTGGTGTAGTCGGCTGTAAATCCATTGTACGACATACCCATCCAGCAATATCCACATTTTCAGATTCAGCTTTTTTTATCCACTCATGATTCTAATAGTAAACAAAAAAATAAATATAAGCTGCAATACATTTATTTTAAATAAATTTGAATTTATTATACAAATATAATACTTACCATCAATGTCTTTAAGTCTGCTCTTTCAGCAGGGTTTTTCTTCAAACAACGATCAACAAAATCTGTGAAAGCATCACTGAAGATTCCAGCTGGCAGTTTTGGCGGTGGTTCATTAACAATGTAGTCCAATAATTCAAATATAGCCATTGGTCGTGGACTACCTGTATCTGAATGATTGATTTACATTCAACAAACTTTAGCCTTTATAAAAAGTAGACAGAATTGACATTAGATTTACGACACCCATCAATTTGATGGATTTCAAATTTAGAAAGAAAATAATGAAGAAATCACAGCATTAATTATGGTTAGTACTGTAAATTAATATCTTCATTCAAAAGATATGTTTCCTTCTAGTCCTTCTGACTTTTAAGATCTATACGTAGTATACCTATTTCTATGGAACCCATAAAGTTGACAGATTGCTGTAGAAATAGGTAGAAATTGTTAAAACTTACTGTGACCAGGTGACTGTGTTGGAGTGGAAGCATTATTTGTAGTAGCAGTGTCTGCAGGTGGTTGTCCTGGTGGAGTGCTAAATATTGTAGCTAAAGTTTTCTCATCTGGTGGTGGAATTGGATACATTCCAATAGCCATCTCTACAAGGGATAGCCCTAGCGACCAAATATCACTCTGTACAGAGTAATGTGTGCCCTGAAGTCTCTCTGGCTGAAAAAATGAAATATCTGTTAAATAAAAATTTTTATTTTAAACAAAAACGACTTCAATTGAATTAGTAATTGCTTACCGACATATAACTTCTTGTTCCAACAAATGAATTCGCCATAGAGTCTATTAGTTGACCAGATACACCAAAATCACAAATTTTTATTTCTCCGGCACTATTCACCAAAATGTTGCTAGGCTTTACATCTCTATGCATAATTGCATGTTTGTCTCGTAAGTAGCTCAAACCTTTTAACACCTATAAGGATATCCAATATTATTGCACAAATTTATTTCATGATTCTTTAACTTTCTAAAATTTAAATTAGTCTGAAGTTTTATATTCTTTAACTTCGGATAATTTTTTAATTTATACACAATCATAATTATTATAAAATTTAGTGCTTTTAATGCAGAAAGTTAAAAGATCATAAAACCAAATGAAGACAAATTAGCCATGATTTCAGTTTCTAAACAATTGAATTTTGATGCCGTCAATATTCAATTGCAAATATATTGTAATTTACTCAAAACTCGTGTTTAATTTAATTTCGATACAATGCAATCAATAACGCATTTAAATCCTGTTGTTAAGAAGAAACATATCGACAATGATATTGAAGATCTTCACAAAGAACTAAGTACCAATGATCATACAATTCCATTAAAAAGATTGTGTGAAAAATTAAACACTGACATAAGTAATGGTTTAACGGAAGACAAAGCACGTGAAATTCTTGATAGAGAAGGATTAAATGCTTTATCCCCAGCAAAAGAAACGCCAGAGTATATAAAATTTTTAAAGTGTATGTTCCATGGATTTGCTAGCTTATTGTGGGTATGTTCACTGTTATGTTTTATTTTATATGGCATTAGTGTTCTAACCAATAACAGTGGTGACGGTATTGATTTATTTGGATTAATCATTGTTATGGTCTGTATAATCTCTGGTGTATTTGCTTATATACAAGAGAGTAAGAATATAAAGGTAATTCATTAATTCCTACACAATTTGGCAAATTGAATAACAAGTAATTATTAATGGAGAATATGTATATTTTCTTTATGATACTAATCATAGGTAATGGAATCTTTTGGGAAAATGGCACCAACTTTTGCTACAGTAATACGTGATGGCATCAAACAGCGTGTGGCAACTGAACATCTAGTTCGAGGCGATTTAGTACTTTTTAAATTTGGTAATAAAATACCGGCCGATATTAGAATTACAGAATGCACTGGATTAAGAGTGGAAAATTCGAGCATTACTGGAGAAAATGAACCAGTAGCTAGAACCAATTATCCCACAGATGACAATCCTTTAGAATCTGCTAATATTGCCTTTTTTTCATCCTTTGCTGTGGATGGTGAAGGTAAAGGTATAGTAATTGCTACTGGTGATAAAACAATGATAGGAAGATTGGCTGGTTTGACATCACAGCTTATAAAAACTGAAACTCCAATAGCTAAAGAAATTAAAAATTTTGTGAAAATAATTATCTCTGTTTCCATAATGTGTGGAATAGTATTTTTCGCGTTATCTCTAATAATAGATCCCAATATAATAAAAGCATTTACTTATCTACTTGGCATTATAATAGCAAATGTACCTGAAGTTCTATTGGTAACTGTTACTACAAGCTTAACATTGACAGCACAAAAAATGGCAACAAAGAACTGCTTAATAAAAAATTTAGAAGCTGTAGAAACACTTGGATCTACTTCAACTATTTGCTCTGATAAAACAGGAACTCTCACACAAAATAAAATGACTGTGTCCAACTTATGGTTTGGTCATACAAGATATAATTTTTCACCAGGGGAAACTCTAGGTGTTGAGAAGAATTTGCTAATGGAAAAGCCTGCTTTTAATGTTATCATTAAGAATGCTACACTTTGCTTACGCGCCGAATTTATTACTGAATCTACTTTATTAAAACCAATTGAAGAACGTGAGATAGTTGGCGACGCTTCTGAGACTGGAATCCTCAAATTCTCCGAGCATATACATAACACAACAGCATTCCGTGACAAACACCCAAAGGTTGCAGAAATACCATTCAGTTCAATTACCAAATATCAGATGTCAATACACAGAGAAGAAACTGGGCATATAATGATTTTGAAAGGAGCGCCAGAAATATTATTAGACAACTGTACTCAAATATTGACTACAGAAGGAGAGACTAATGAGATGACACCATTGGACCAGGTAATATGTCGAAGGGCCTGTGCAGAGCTTGGATACCTAGGTCAACGTGTATTAGCTTATTGTGATCTTCATCTGCCTGATGATGTCTATGGACCAGATTTCAAATTTAATACAGATTCTCCAAACACGTATAATTTTCCAACAAAGGGTTACAGGTTTGTTGGATTGATCAGCTTAATAGATCCTCCAAGACCAGCTGTACCTGATGCTGTAAAGAAATGCCGTACAGCTGGAATTAAGGTAATAATGGTTACAGGTGATCATCCTGTAACAGCAATGGCAATAGCAAAAAAGGTTGGTATCATCAGCGAGGGAACTGTAACTAGATATGAAAGAGCAATACTGCAGAACATGTCACACTCCCAAATAGTAGATATTGACACACAAGCAACAATTATCACTGGTAGTGAATTAAGGAATATGGACGCTACAGAATTGGATAATCTTATAAGGAACTATGAAGAAATTGTATTTGCAAGAACGTCCCCTCAACAAAAGTTGCTTATAGTGGAGAGCTGTCAAAGACTGGGGGAAATTGTTGCTGTAACTGGCGATGGTGTTAATGATTCACCTGCACTGAGAAAAGCAGATATCGGTGTAGCTATGGGTATTACTGGTTCAGATGTTGCGAAACATGCAGCTGACATGATTCTTATGGACGATAACTTTGCGACTATCGTAACTGGTATCGAAGAAGGTAGACTAATATTCGATAATCTCAAAAAATCAATTGCATACACATTAACGTCTAGCGTTCCTGAGATGCTACCTATGTTAGCTAGTCTCATATTTGGTATTCCTCTTCCATTCATTCTTGAAATGATTCTATGTGTAGACATTGGAACAGATTTGCTTCCAGCGATTGCTCTAGCATATGAAAAAGCAGAATCTGACATTATGCACCGTGCACCACGGAACCCACAGTATGATAAACTTGTGAACAAACGTTTAATATCTGTTGCCTATGGACAAATTGGCATGACACAATCTCTAGCTGGTTTTTATACCTATTTTATGATTTTAATGTTAAACGGCTTTTTACCTGATCGACTAGTAGGATTAAGATTAGATTGGGATAACAAATCTGTCAATGATTTAACAGATTCTTATGGTCAAACATGGACATATGATACTAGAATGGAATTACTAAATGAAGCTCGTACTGGATATTTTTTATCTATCGTCATAACACAACTCATAGATTTAGTTATGTGTAAAACAAGAAAGAACTCAATCTTGCAACAAGGAATGGATAATTGGTTCTTAAATTTTTCATTTATTTTTGAAATTATTCTAACTGGTATCATACTGTATGTACCAGGAACTGAAAACATATTTAAGACTATGCCTTTAAGCTTTTACTGGTACTGGCCATGCCTACCCCTCGGTTTGTTTCTTTGGATATATGATGAATTAAGAAGATTATGTATACGTACATATCCTGGTGGAGTTATAGAACAAGAAACTTATTATTAAGTATTTATCATAAGTAACATTTAACTTAAAATTCGTTAGATTAGTTTTAACACATTGATAGTATCATTTCCTATACAGTAAATTCTCCCCAATTGTCCTTCAGCTTGTAAACAAAAATGGACAATTTGGGAACAGAAGGTACAATTATTTGAGCCTCGCGTCTCGTTTTTATAGTTGTTGACAATTGACGACTATAAAAATGAGCCACGAGGTTCGAATAACTGTATCTTCTCTTCCCAAATTGTTCATTTTTGTTTACAATCTGAAAGACAATTGGAGAGAATTTACTGTATATGGGTATCATATTAATCATATTAATTAATCATATTAATGATATAAGAACATTATTTCTACCTAGAACCAAGAAAAGGCAGTTACTTTTGTTTTATTGTGTTAAATGATTTATAATGAAAGTATAAGAAAAAGTATATTTTCATCTTAGATTATAAACGTATTAAATAGATCAATTATGTTAGAACCTGTTTACATAGAATATGTTAACAGTTAATACTTACCGCAGAAGTGATTGTACTTAATATAGGTTCTGGAATTCGGCCAGCTTTCTTTAATATTAAATCAAGAGATCCACCATCCATATATTCCATGCATATACTAATTTCTCCGTCACTAAACAGTTAAAATAATAAATATAATAATTAGTATATAATATACAATTACTTATTGAAGTTTACTGATTATTTCATAAAGAATTTTACCTATAAAAAGCACCATAGAAACCTACTATGTGGGCAAAATTACATTCATGAAGAACTTTTAGTTCTCTAATTATTTGTTTCTTTATAGCAGGTTTAACTTCTAAATGTATTAACTGAAATATTATATCCATTATTGTTATATTATAAACATTATTTTTAAATTAAATTGGACAAATAAAATAATAATAAGTCATACCTTTCTAGCCATTATAAGACCATACTTTTTATGTCTCACTTTCATTACAACACCACCATTCCCAGCACCAAGTTCACCAAGCTTTTCAAAATCATCAGCACACAATTCTCCAACCTTCTCCTTTTGTCCTAAGAAGCTTTCTAATCTTTTCCTTTGTTCCTCATCCATTTCTAATTCCTCTAGCCTTTCTTGGATTGCGTCTATACTCATTTTACCCATAACTCCGCTATGATTATAAGTCAGAAAATAAAAATGAAAACATAGTATTAATACTTTATGAAATAGAGAATCTATGAGAATAATAAAACATAATTACTCTGGTATTACTGGTGGTTCAGAATAAATAGGCAGCGGTGGTACTGGTGGAGATGGTGAAACAGCTGGTACTGGTTCTATTGAGCCAGGCGGTAATGTTAAATTTAATTTATTTTTTGACATTTGGTAATGTNGGACAATTTGGGAACAGAAGGTACAATTATTTGAGCCTCGCGTCTCGTTTTTATAGTTGTTGACAATTGACGACTATAAAAATGAGCCACGAGGTTCGAATAACTGTATCTTCTCTTCCCAAATTGTTCATTTTTGTTTACAATCTGAAAGACAATTGGAGAGAATTTACTGTATATGGGTATCATATTAATCATATTAATTAATCATATTAATGATATAAGAACATTATTTCTACCTAGAACCAAGAAAAGGCAGTTACTTTTGTTTTATTGTGTTAAATGATTTATAATGAAAGTATAAGAAAAAGTATATTTTCATCTTAGATTATAAACGTATTAAATAGATCAATTATGTTAGAACCTGTTTACATAGAATATGTTAACAGTTAATACTTACCGCAGAAGTGATTGTACTTAATATAGGTTCTGGAATTCGGCCAGCTTTCTTTAATATTAAATCAAGAGATCCACCATCCATATATTCCATGCATATACTAATTTCTCCGTCACTAAACAGTTAAAATAATAAATATAATAATTAGTATATAATATACAATTACTTATTGAAGTTTACTGATTATTTCATAAAGAATTTTACCTATAAAAAGCACCATAGAAACCTACTATGTGGGCAAAATTACATTCATGAAGAACTTTTAGTTCTCTAATTATTTGTTTCTTTATAGCAGGTTTAACTTCTAAATGTATTAACTGAAATATTATATCCATTATTGTTATATTATAAACATTATTTTTAAATTAAATTGGACAAATAAAATAATAATAAGTCATACCTTTCTAGCCATTATAAGACCATACTTTTTATGTCTCACTTTCATTACAACACCACCATTCCCAGCACCAAGTTCACCAAGCTTTTCAAAATCATCAGCACACAATTCTCCAACCTTCTCCTTTTGTCCTAAGAAGCTTTCTAATCTTTTCCTTTGTTCCTCATCCATTTCTAATTCCTCTAGCCTTTCTTGGATTGCGTCTATACTCATTTTACCCATAACTCCGCTATGATTATAAGTCAGAAAATAAAAATGAAAACATAGTATTAATACTTTATGAAATAGAGAATCTATGAGAATAATAAAACATAATTACTCTGGTATTACTGGTGGTTCAGAATAAATAGGCAGCGGTGGTACTGGTGGAGATGGTGAAACAGCTGGTACTGGTTCTATTGAGCCAGGCGGTAATGTTAAATTTAATTTATTTTTTGACATTTGGTAATGTCAACAGAACACCACTAATACACAATTTTTCTGCAATCACACTTGCTGATGATGTTTGCAAAAATTACAACACACGTATTAATCAATTAAATATTTTTGTAATTCAATAGTAATTAATATATTCTTAATTTTTTTTATTTCTTTAAATCACAGTTACTGTCAAATTCGTTCTCATTGCGAAATTCGTACAAAAGTACAAGGAATAATCTTAATTTAAATTGTTGTGAAAATGCAATTGTCGGGGTTCGAACTGTCAAATTCTTTTTTAGTAAATAATTTCTGGTGGATCGAGAAGAAATGTAGACTTCGTTTTTAAAAATTGTCAATTTACTAATAACGACTTGGAAATTAAGCAAGCACACATATTTTTTGCAAATATTGTGCAAATAGGAAGAGGTTATACGAATCTTCCCGGGAACAATGACGGACTCCCAGTTGCTCACAATGCCTATTTGAACATTCCTATATAGTGACACTTAAGTTTTTGCAAGACTCTCCGACCGCAGCGCACTCCGTTATCGAAAATAGCAGTAAAAATTGCTTTGCTCTGATTGGCTGACGATTTAATGCTAAGACAGGATACATTACAGATTGGATGCGCAGTAAAATGGTAGGAATGCTTGTGAAAGCTAAAGGTACAAAAATCGTGCAAAACCTGAGGTATTACTGTATTACTGTAGTTTCATATCTTTGTGTAATACTCCATACATTATTGAACATAATATGTATACATACACGTGTATGAATGAATTTACATTCATGCATATATGTTTTCTATGTAGTATATCGTTCAATATGTATTGCGCGGTAGCAGAAGCATGTAATATGTACTATGTACTCTGCAGAGAAAGAGAAGAGATGAAGAAAACCTTAGACCATATATATACATACATTACTAGACACAGCATGCGTATAGTGTGTACAGTAATGAATCCTATTTCTGTACACTTCCAGGCTGCAGTTTGATTCGTTAACGAGGTTTGACATAAAGATTTTCTTTGCTCTGATCGGCTGACGATTCACTGCTGAGATAGGATCTACTGCGGATTGGATGCGCAGTAAAATAGTGGGGATATGCGTTGCAGCTTAGGGAGTAAGAAAAACGTGCAAGAGTAGGTTCCATTACTGTTTATAGAAAATCCAAGAGTTCAGTGAAGCAAAGATAACTGTTCACTCTGACCTTGCGCAGAGCAAAAGCTAATTATTAAATGGTTGAATTGCTAAGCATATATACGATAATAAATATAGAATCAAATCATATTATTCAATTAATTAAAATAATTAGTATTAATATTTTAATTAAACTTTAAATACATTCTGCGAAATTATAATTTTCTATTTAATGAATGGTATTTGTTTTCTGAAAGTTAGACATTTTCGCATATTCATTAATGCCGAACATTAAAACAGTTTTACACGTTTGTAATATTGGTATGTAACTCTTTCCAAATTGCAGATTGCATATCATACTAGCATAGCTTATACATTTTGTTCACTCTGACGTCATGTAGATGATTTCATCCTTGCTTCAGGGAAATGATCTGAAACCGTGTATATAGATATATGTATATATAATATAGTCTAAGGAAAAAACTCACACACACGGCATAGATTAACAGAATATGTATATAGAAACATACAGAACATACACATACATAAGTTAGCTTCATATAAAACTTGCAATGTAAAATAAAGCACACACTTTTGCTATTGTTTGAAATAGAAAAATTAAAATATAATTATTAAATTATGTAAACAAATTTGAAATATTACTATAATGGAAAACGGTGCTTAACAAATATGTATACACAATCTTATGAACTGACTACTACTGAATTAAATTATTCTCGTTATGTTAACTGAACCAAAAATTATTCAAAATTAATGATTTAAACAGTATTCATACATATGTATTCCCATAAGCCTTTTGGAAATATCACTAAAAAAATGACATCAGCGCCCCCTGATGTTGTAACTCAAACATTTTTGTTATGTGGCCAGATTCTGTGAGTGAGCTTACTATCATTTAATATGTTATTACTAATGTATTTCTTGCATTTGGCGGGATTTACTAACAGAACAGTAACGAAAAGTATGTATGTAACGTCGTTGCGTGCGGTGTCATTGTTAGTTTGAAGTTCTTTAAAGTACATTAATTTACCTTACATATAATTACTTCCAATTATATAAAAATGGAAATTGAAAAAGAAAATATAATCCCGAGCACTTCAAATAATGCAGGTAAACGTCTATTTTAATTTAAAAAAAGCTTACAATAAAAGTTTAAAAGTATTGTATCCGATATTATGTTACTAATGCATCATATTTTTCTTTACATGATAATAAAATTTCAAATCAATTAAAATTGATTTCCATATTCTTTAAATATGGAAAGGCGATTTAAATATTGTGGGAACTGATGTAAAATTCAGTAAAGATCTCATAAACATGGATCAGGTGCTTGAAAAAAAAAGAAAGCGAAATGAAACTAAAACATTAGAAGAAGAACAATATCATCAGGAAATGCAAGAAAAACAATACAAACGATTGATGCACTTATTAAATAGAAGTAAATTCTTTTCCAATTATATTGTTAATAAAATTGATGATAATATCAAGCAGAAAGACAAAAATAAAGTTAAGAATGGGTATACAAAAAAAGCTGATAACAGGGATGAAAATACACTATCAGATAAGAAGAAGAAAAAAAATCAAGATATACGAAAACATATAGATACAGATGTAAGAAAACTTACCAATTTTGTTTAATGTATTTTATAATATATTTTTTTTCATATTATCAACTTTAACAGGTACGCGAAAAGATACAAATGAACAGGAATAAATTAAATTTAAGTCAAGAAGATATTTATGATGAAAATGGTATAGAAAATACTAATACTGTTAAAATACATGAATATTTTAATGGAGAATTAAGACATTATCAAAAAGAAGGACTTCAATGGTTGAAAGTTCTTTATGAAAATGGCATAAACGGTATCTTGGCTGATGAAATGGGTCTTGGGAAAACAGTTCAAGTGATAGCTTTACTATGTCATTTATTTGAAAAACAACAAAGTGGACCTTACTTAATAATTGCTCCTTTATCAACTATACCAAACTGGACAGCAGAATTTAAAAGATTTGCACCAAAATTGCCAGTTAAGATATTACATGGTCCAGAAAAAGAAAGATTGATTGTACAAAAAGAAATTCGGCAAAAATACAATATTACAAACAATTATAGTTCACAACCTATAGTACTTACCACATTTGAGATTCCATTACTAGATAGAAACTTTCTTAGATCTCAACAATGGAGGTATATAGTAATTGATGAAGGTCACAGAATAAAAAATTTTAGATGTCAGCTTATCAGGTATGTTTGTTGTACTTAAAAATTTTGAATATTTTAAATAGTATTATACATCAACTTTTTTATTACTATACTAATAATTTATTTCCTCTATTCATACATTCAATATCTTGTTCATTACTATCTACTTTGCTTGTAAAGAAAACACTTGATTACTATTAAGTTTATTATTTTGGTACAGGGTGCTAGCAAGCTGCAAATCTATGAATAGACTCCTTTTAACAGGCACACCACTACAAAATAATTTAGCTGAATTGTGGTCGCTATTAAATTTTCTATTGCCAGAAATTTTTGACGATTTAGCTGTATTTGAATCATGGTTTGATGCAAAGGAACTTCAGAACACAGAAGGCACTAAAAAATTGTTGCAACGCGAACAAGAAAAACATGTATTGGCATCCTTACGCGAAATACTAAAACCATTTATGTTAAGACGCGAAAAGATACATGTTTGTGCAGATATTCCACCAAAAAAAGAAGTGATTGTTTATGCTCCTCTTACAGAACTTCAACACGATTTATACTTAGCAGTATTAAACCGTGATATAAAAATGATATCTAAAATTGAAGAACCTAGTATATATACAGATGATGGCAAAAGACGGAAGAGAAGATGTGTTCTTAGAAATATGGCTAATGACAAATATGGTAGAAATAATATGGAGGAAGAAAATTTACAAGGCAATTCCTATCAGAAAAGTGATTCAAGTCACAAGACTTTATCGATTTGGAAAGAGTATACTAATGTGACAGAACGTAATCAAGAATTCCTTCTTAATATTACGATGCATCATAGATGTCAGTTATTATTTAAGTTATATATGAAAAATATTAGCTGCAAAATATTTTATTATAAAACTAATGTTTGTTACAGTTACTATGTACAAAAAGATTGTAAATCATCCATATCTGGTTCACTGTCCATTGGATGCATCTGGTTTACCATTAATCAATGAAGATTTAATTAAATCATCCGGTAAACTATTAGTATTAGATTTAATGCTTGCAAAACTTAAGAGTCTGGGACACAAAATTTTATTATTTTCCACTATGACAACAATATTGGACACAATAGAAGATTACTTATCAATGCGTCCTTATGAATACGTAAGATTAGATGGTAAAATTGGAATTGAAGAAAGGGAAAAAAACATTGCAGCATTTAATTCAAACCCTAATATATTTCTGTTCCTTTTAACTACAAGAGCTGGTGGTGTTGGATTAAACCTTGCAGCAGCAGATACTGTTATTATATATGATAGCGATTGGGTACAGTAACTTTTATATCATGATTTATGTGTTATTAATTAAAATTAATTACATATGTTCTTAGAATCCACAAATGGATATTCAAGCTATGGCTCGTTGCCATAGGATAGGCCAGACAAAACCTATAGTTATATATAGACTTTGTACCAAAGGAACAGTTGATGAAATAATTATTAAACGTGCAGAGGCAAAACGTGTTTTAGAGAAGATGGTTATTTCTCAGGCTTCTAAAACTACTATACTAAATAAGGAAACTTTATTGGAATTACAAAAATGTTTGGAGTCGAAAGATTGTCAAATAGTTGTATCTAAAAATAAAGGTAAATCATAATAACTTAATAATTTCGCACTATAGAGAATATTTATACTACTAATAATTAAATCTGATTACAGTTTTTACAGAAGAAGAACTTAATAAATTGTTAGATAGAAGTGACTTATATGAAAACTTGAAACCTAAGGAACCATGAAAGTATTATATTTTCTTGAGAAGGACAGGAGTAATATAAATGTGAGGACATTTTTTAATTTAATTGATAATTTAATATTATTTATATTATTTATTTCTGTATTTTTGTTATAAGTAAATTGATAAGTTGCAAGATCTAATAAAAAGTTATTGCATAGTGATAGGTAAAGATCGACTGTGTTTGGACTAGCTGACGTTTTTATATTTTTATAACAAATTTTGATAACATAGTTAACGTACACGCATGTTATTTATGATTTAGCTGATTTCATACGCAAGAAGTATTTTCCAGCTGTACCTTTATTTTTACAACATTGATTTAATTGATCACGAAATTCTCCTTCTAGTTTTGTATAAGTTCCACCTGTTATAAACAGTATTAAATAAATTTTAATTATATATTGATAATATAGTATTTTTTTATATATTAAATGTAAAACAATACCGTTCAAATGATTTTTTCTACGGTTGTGTTTACTCAATGACTTCACCAGCAAAGAAGAATCTGCAGATACTCTTTTTGTTAATAGTGCTACCATTTGGGAACTTGCTTTTTCTTCAAATTCTCTTTGATTATCTTGATTATGTCTTATACTTGAGTCACTATTCCAAGATCGCCCGTTGTTTCTGAAAAAGACAAAGACTTCATCAGTGATTATAAATCATTTAAACACTATGAAAAAATATAACTTCGTTACTTCCACAGAATTCGATATTTTGATTTCTTCATATTTTGATTTTTTGTTTTTAAAGTAGACCATGGCAGTGATTCTTCGCTATTATACGATTCTTCATCAATACTACAATCTTCATCGATTGTAATGCCATCATCTTCATCACTTTCGGTAATTGAAGACGTAATAGACGAAACATCATTTGCAAGAGAGGCTTGTTGATGAACCTTTAACGATGTTTTTTGCAAATCTTGTGTTTGAGACGATCGTCGGAGTCCTGTTCCACTCCATATTTTGCCTAAACATTGAATAGTAGAATAAAAAAAGAAAGTTTCTAAAATAAATGTGAAGACATTCACCTAGAAGACCAAACTTTGGTCGCTGAGGAGCAAGTTCTAAACCAGCCCACCACATTGTACTTTTACATGTTAATTTTCCTGAATCAATAGATACGTCACGAGCTACTAATCTCGTAATTTTTTCTGGAAAAAATAATTGTGGTGGTTCCATCGCTATTACTTCTCTATATATTGAAAAAATGTTCAATATACTTATATCCCTTTGTGTTTGTAAATCTGGCATATGTTCCTAAATACAAAAATAACTACTTACTGCTTCTAACTAACAATGATCATAGTAACAACTTACTGGTAACAATAGTAATACTTACAAATACTTACCCTGTACCTACAACCTTCACGATTTGATAATACTTCAAATCTGTATGCTCGTTGACTACAACATGGATATCTACCTAAAGGGAATGGCATAGATCTTTGCTGTTCATTAATAAAAAACTGTGGAGGTTCTGCATGGCAACAGCACCAATCAATTTGATGAATTGGAAAATATACATTACACTGCGTACAAAGTAAGAAATGACAATCACCCCATAATCTCCAATAAACTTTACGCCAAGAACGTAACTCCGTTCGGAGAGTAATAATATAATCATTTAAAGTCCATGATAAATCTCTAAATAATATATGGTTTATTGTAATTATAAATATTATAGGGCAAATTCTATACTTTATTATCGTACCGTACGTGTTTACTGTGCACATGTCCATGATTATCAATTACCATGGCACTTGCAATACATGGTACATGATAGGAAACAGACTGAACAATACTTTTCCCACATTTACTGCATCTAAACAATGTAGCTAAAGAACTATAATGTCCTTTTTTGTTGTCAGGCATTACTGCTGCCAGGGATATAATCAATTTGCAGAATAATTTACTTTGGATTTTATCTTTCTTGTCTTTTAATGCTTCCACATCTTCATTTGTAAATCTCTCTACTAGTCTATAATAAATTTTAAACTTCAGATATGGAAAATGTGTAATATAAATTAATTTCTTCATTTGTCAGATACATAATGTGTACATTAAAAAAATATACCTTGTAAGAAGATTATCATCTAAACAAGTTAATATTGTGGATGTTTTTAATATGTCAGACATATTATCATGACAATACTGTAGGCAATTCTCCAAAAGTGGTTCCATTTGTAAAAAGGATGCAGATACCATTATTGGAATGACATTACTTGGTTCTAAAGTTGGCCACTCAGATTTTTTGGTCATATCTTTTTTTACCCACCTCATTAACCAATCAAATATCACAATGTCACAATGAACTGATATATCAATTTCTTCCAATTTCTGACCTGCTGTAATATCAGCAAAGTAACGCATTTTTTGAATAAGTAGTTTCTGAGAACAATGAAAATTTTTTTTAATATTTTTCTCTTCGTCGCAAACATGAATTTCCACTTCATTTCTATAGAAACATGATATAAATTATTAATATTAATTTTAATTTTAATCAATAACTACGATTAATGAACTTACTCCATCAATCTTTTATTTGCCTTGTTTTTATCCTTTTCCTTTTCTTTATGTGATAAATTTGTAACCATTTTTGTATCAATGTTATTACTTAATGAATTAGATTTCTTAATCTCATTATTTATAATGGATTTTTTAATAATGGGCTGTGATACAGTAGACTTTGGAATCATGTATGGTAATACAGAATCTAATAAACCTTCATGCAATATATCACTTAAATTTGTTTTCATCAAACTTATCAAAAGATTTTCTGTTATACCTGTAGATCTAACCGCCTTTGATTCATTCAAATGTGATGAGGTTTCTGTAATTCTGTTACAATTTTCGGTGTTGGNCGTCGCAAACATGAATTTCCACTTCATTTCTATAGAAACATGATATAAATTATTAATATTAATTTTAATTTTAATCAATAACTACGATTAATGAACTTACTCCATCAATCTTTTATTTGCCTTGTTTTTATCCTTTTCCTTTTCTTTATGTGATAAATTTGTAAGCATATTTGTATCAATGTTATTACTTAATGAATTAGATTTCTTAATCTCATTATTTATAATGGATTTTTTAATAATGGGCTGTGATACAGTAGACTTTGGAATCATGTATGGTAATACAGAATCTAATAAACCTTCATGCAATATATCACTTAAATTTGTTTTCATCAAACTTATCAAAAGATTTTCTGTTATACCTGTAGATCTAACCGCCTTTGATTCATTCAAATGTGATGAGGTTTCTGTAATTCTGTTACAATTTTCGGTGTTGGTTGCTGCATTTTTATCATAATTAAATGTTTCTTCATGTTCAATTTGTCCATTTGTAGATGTAACAAAATATGTTGAATTTGGAAGATTCATGTCATAGGTTTTAAGCTCTAGTTTTGGCAGTACAACAGAATTTTTATTTTCACTTACAGCATTGTTATCGATACTTCTCTCATGAACTGTATGATTAGATGTTTCTAAATGTATATCTATCTTTGATAATTTATCCCAATCAAATTTATTGTCTGTTGTAAATATTGTAGTTATGCTTTTACAATTATCGCTGACTTGATATGCAACTTTCATAAATTCAAAAAACATTCCAATCGTCAACTTGTGATGCTTGTAATCTTGAAATTTATGAAGTATTTCTGACAAATCTAAAGCACACAGTTTTAT